CTGGATCGAATTTAATTGGAAATAAAGAAAAGTAAGAAAATAATGGAGACAAAATTTTAACGTGGAAAAAACTCCAAATCGGAGAAAAAACCCACGGACAACGACGAGCAAAATGATTCCACTATGTAAAAAGGAGAGTACAAAAAGTCCTCTAAAATTATGAGGACAAAGAGTAATAAATCACTCTATTTTTTCTCTCAATAAATACTCTCTCAGAATGGAATAAGAGCTACAAAATAACACTCTCAAATTTCTTCTTCTGATCAGTGAATGATCGATTTCCGTATCTCGACCTTTCGTAATTCATTGCCTTTTATAAGAAAAAAACTGCTACAGTAACTCGTTATTTTTTCAATGTTGACTGTAGCAATTTGACAAATCATGGACGGTGCCTACCAAGTGACTGTAGCAATTTGACAAATCATTGGACGGTGCCTATCAAGCGGAAAAATTGAGCCATCAATGTTGACTAACAATTAATTTTGACTAACACTTACTTTTTAAATTTAATATTTGAATTTTATTTTTTTATATAATGAGTTATTTTAATTTTATTTAAAAATATCATTAATAAAAATAAAATTATTTATTTTATTAGTAAGTTTTAAAATGTCTTTAATACTAATTATTATTATTATTGTTATTATTATTATTATTATTATTATTATCATTAAATCATGTATTTTCTTTAATTTTTTGTAAGTTATTTTCTGGACTTTTTTAATAGTTCTCTTTATGAGGTAATTTATATTTTTCTTGACAAATAAAATTAGTAAAAACTTAAATTAAATTTAACAAATATTTTTTAAATGTGTATCTGAAAATATACAATACAAATTTATATACAGCAAGTTTTTATTAAAAATATAATATCGTTAAAATTTAATACATTGGTAACATTAATATTACAATTTCTATTAAAAAAATATTATTTATTAATTTTTTTTTATCATATAGGCATACTAACTAATTCTAACAATACTGGGTACGTGTTAATAATAGAATTAGGTACAATGGTATTATATGAGAGTAAAACTGATAATTTTTAAAAACCAAAAAAAAAAAAAGAATTAACTAACTTACTTTAATTTGTGTATTTATTTGTTTTTTCTTTATTTTCTTCTGTCAAAAATAAAGTGACTAAGGTTGAAATAATTGTAAACGGGTAACCTAATTGTGCATCTTGCGATGGTGCTACAACCACACGTTAACCCATTGATGTGCTGGGCGGCATCACCCGGCAAATTTGGAAAATCATTTTTCAGCCACTTTTGAACTTGTTTCGTTGTCTTCTACAAATGATTGCACATTTTCCTCCTCAAAGATAATTTAATAAACTTATATTATGCTTGTTTGATAGAGTATTTGAACAAAAATTAAATATAACAAAGTCTAAACAAAATATGATTTATTAAATGCACACGTTATGAAATTAAAATATACCCTAAAGGTAAAATAAAATTAATTTTCTCCAAAACACACAAATAAATTAAAAAAACTTACAAATAATCGGTTATTATAGCAGGGGCCATGGCTGGAAACACCAATGTAAAGGATTTAGAGCTGCTCTCGTTGAAAATTCTTTCATCAATCACTAGTAGACTACCAGTATATTCACGTTGGAATCCAACTTGAGATCATAGAACTATGGGTTAAAGGTTAAGCTGTAATAACCTCTACCCTTAATATATATATCCAGTCTACCCAACTCATAACGAAATGTAAAAAAACAATACATAAATTTTAGGTAAGTCACTATTTTAAATACACCCTTTAATTAATACATATTTTATAATTAATTAGTTTTTGAAAAAATAAAAAATATTTTAAAATTTTTAATTTATAAAACAAATATTTTAACCTTTTAAGAAATGAGCAATAATAGAATATATATATATATATATATATATATATATATATTCAAATGAATGTTTTACTATAATTTTTTCATGATTAATGTTTATTGTCTTTTCTCCTTCGACCCTGTTCCCCTATCCATTCTCACTTTGTGATGGATAGAGGTCAAAAAATGAATAAAGTATTATGTAGTAAACATATATAATATTTGTATGAATTTCTACACAATATATGTGACCTTAGAACATGAACTGCAACTTATCTCTTTCCTCCTGGATTTCGTAATCAAGCATCTTGAAGCAAATACTTGCAAAGCCCAATAATGGAAAGTGTGCTCCACAATCTCACATGGTGTGACTCTACAAGAGTTTTAGTCTAACAGGATCCGAAACTTTCCTTTACTTTCCAAAGTTAGCTACCTTTTTTTCCTGATTGATTAAATGATTTGATTGAACAATCTTTGATCATTCCATACCATATTTTCCTTTTCTTCTTCACTGCCTAGATAGAGATTGAAAACGGTTCCGTCATTTTTGGAAATATTTTCCTCCTTTGTGTCAGTGAGAGCTTTATATCATCTCTGCTGAACTTGAATATTCACATGACAAGATGAACGTTCATTATTATTGTTGTTGTTAATATGGTTTCCCATAATAATTGATGACAAGCTTGAATTGTAGCAGGTTTCATTGCTCTATAACCTAATAAATAAATATATACCTAGCTAGCCAGCAAAATTTTTTCAACATTATAGAAGTTAAAATTTTTCTAATTAAAGCAAATTATTATGTTGTTAACTGTATAGAACTTAAATGTCATACGTGGCTAAATACAAGGCTTGTCTTCATTGTGTTATAGAAATTTACTAATCATAAGTACGGGTGTTGTGTACTGTTCACGGCATATCCCTGCAATGCCGATGAAGATTTGGCTGTCCCAGATATTAACTACGAAATAATTAAAAGAATATATCTTCTCTTTATACATGATGGTTCATGCATGTGTAAACATCGTATATATACATACGATTCTCTACAATCCAAGCGAGAAACAGTATCGCTTGACAATTATATGCGGACAACCTGAAAAGACAAATGTTAAGGTTTTGTCATGATGACTAGTTTGATGGATCGGTAAACATGTCCTACATCTTTATCGTGCTTTCGACTTTCTGAACGAAATTGATTGATTGTTCTAGCATTTCCATGATTGTAACCAAATAAAATATATAAGACAATGTAACTGTGATTTAGCTGGACATATGTCGGAGTACGGTTTGATCATGATTCATGACCAAGGTGAATGTTTTAACTATAAGTTTGGATGCACAAATTAAGCATCATTGTTTTTCTGTGGTTGAGATATTGAAGTTTTTGCCCCCATCCCAAAAGAAATGAAAAAACTTAGAACAACTGAAGTTTTACTAATAGACAAACTGACCACTCATTTTGTTTGAGAAACCGTGTTAATTATGTATCTCCCATCATTTTCTGCTGATTTTGAAGCTTCGGAAGAAAAATAATAATAATTGAAGTTGTTGCCACAACTAGCTGCGAACAAAAGATTTGATTCTGATGATAATAACGTATGGGTGATATTGATTCTACGATATACAGACCAGTGGTGTTAAACAATGCTGATTTCTGTACCCTACAACGGAAAAGAAACCATTTTATTAAATCCAACCAAAATGAAGCAGAACAAATTAATGTTGTTAACTATAGTTACCATTGACTAATTATGTAATCTTTCTTATGTGGAAAAAAAATAATTAAAAAATCACGTAACAATGTATGCTTCTTTTTTATTATTTTAAAAAATTATATAAGATAATATGATATCAATAATGTGCAAATACCATTGTTATTTATTAAAAGGGAAACGTGCAGTAACTTACTTTTGAAGCAAGTTGAGCAATAGTTGGTAGCAAAGACCGCTAGTAGTTAGTAAGCCAATTCATCAGGCAATAATATCCAGATTATTACTCGATAAAATAAAGATTAAATGAAACTGAATTGAGGACTAGATACATATTTGACTTATCAGGATTGCGACTTCGTGCCTTCCCTAACGTTTCTAAAACGTACTTTTCGCAAAGTCTATGATTTGCGCCCACTGGATACTTTTTCAGTTCATAATAGAATCAAAGTGGCTACTGTATTATTGTGTCACGCACCCTTGTCACTTTTAACTGTACGTATCTGAGTGTTATGTTACTTGCAAAGTTGGAACTACGAATTGACTCACTCGATTATCTTTCCATTTTTACAAAGTCGGAACTTGAATATACAATTTTTTTTATCAGAATTAGTAATCTGTCCTGACTTTGTCTTTCTTCCCCTAACCTAAACCTTTTTTTTTTGTAGAGAAAAAAAAAAAAAGAGGTTGCCGACATATCAAGTTAATTCCAGTCTTGCAACATCTTTGAAAAGGAGTAATTATCCGATCCAAAATGGACAGGGATAGTGGGTGTTCGGTCTGTGAAGCGCAAAAGTTAAGAAGTTGAATACAAGTGGATACAGCTATCTCATCTATGTGATTGGTGCTATACCATGCTTTTTGTTCCGATTCATTTGTTCTATCGTCATCGAACTTCCCAACTTGGGTCTTGTCTCACCAACTTCATCATCATCCCGTTATTCGCGATCAGTTCCAATACTGTATATATAGGATAATATTGCTCTCTAAATACCACCTTACCATATCTATGTTCGATTAATTTCGCTTAAACGAACAAAAAGCAGAATACCAACAGTACTGTACTACGTTTCATGTTTCAGAATAATACATATATATATATAGACTGCCATCTGATGATTTTAAGCAAACCTTGTCCTTCTTCTTTGACAAAATATTTCGCTGCATTCATTTCAATTATCCCCAAAAGCTCTGAACTCTCGGTTTCAATCCTCGAGATATATAATATGACGATATGAAATCTACACAACACGCCGTATCAAGATGATAAAATTCATATATCGTAATATAAGTGTACTATTTTTCGATTTCTGTAATTTACACAACAAATAAATATTGGTATTAATAAACTTTTAATTTTGATCGGAGAATAATACTAAAAAATTCTTTGACTAACTTTAACTTACGAAGATTTGCAGGAAAATAATTTAAAGAAACTTGATGAATTCGGTGGTCACTCTTGAATCTAATTTATCCTTACACGAGACCTCATTTGCGTACGTAAATATTAATTGTAGAAAAAACATAGAACGAACCAAGGAGACGGATGATTTACACACGACACCAGCACATAACTAACTAACTTCTCATCATCAAACGAAAATGAAAAAAAGAAAAAGAGTCAATAAAATTGAGTTATTCCTGAAGTTGGTTGGTAACGGTGGCTTATATAGGTTAGAAAACAGAAACAGAGAAACGAAATGAAGTGATGGATATGGATGAATTAAGCAGGCCTGAACCTTTGCCTGCAGGAATGACAAGTAATCTCCATGCACGTGGAATCCACCTGTCTTGTGGCTCGCTCCTTCATTCTCTCCGCTCTCTCCACTTCTTCTCTTGCACGCTCCCACATTTGTCGCGCACGTGCGAACTCTGATTGCGCCATCTCCATCTCTCTACGCGTCAGTTCTCTCACTCGTTCCGCATACGCCTTTTCCATCGCTGCCAGCCGGATTTGCTCCGCCGCCTGCCACTTCAGCGCCTCCACGCTGTCGCACATCAACACCGCCGGGGGACGCACGCTGATCGATAGCTGGAGGTCCAGCGACGGAGCGCCGCCGCACTCGGAGGTAGATGAGGAGGAGCGGAGACGGAGCAGCGAGGAATCGGAACGCGACGGTGGAAGAAGGTCGAGTTCCCTGTTGACTTCGTCTTCCATTGGAGAAGAGAGAATCGGGTACGGTTGAGAGGGAAGCGAAGGAAACTGTTTTGATCGTGTAATGACGAAAGAGTGTGCTTAGACTCAACCCCCGTAGCGGGAGCTATATATAAACAACTCCACCGAGGGAAATCACCTCTTCACCCTTGCCAATGTTCATTTTTTATAATTTAATTTTATTAATGGATTGATTAAGTTAATTTTTTGATACATTTTTTATTTCCAAAGTTAATAAAATTGTTGTTTGGAGACATGCATGATGTGATTCTTTTGTGAAGTTAATGGACATTCTTAATTATTTGTTTATATTTTTGTATGTTAGTTATGTTTAATTTCACTCAACTCATCTTTTTAGAGAATTTTATTTGATTTTTAACTGAAAGAAAAGATGTAGTTATTTGAAGATGGTTTAAAGCATTGTAATTTTTAAGAAAAAAGTTGATAAGGTGAAAAAATGATTGAATTGAAAATAGTTTCATTTTAAAAGGATTGAAATCTTCTATTGTGAGTATTTTAGACAATTTTATTAAATGTGAAAAGGGAAGAAAAAGAGCAGGGGCAAGTGAGTAATTTAGGTAAAAGGTGGGGACGGAGGATTTGAAGAGTGGAAAATTCCGTTATGAGAATGGGGAAAGGGAGGGAAAATAACGGATCACGTTATTGGGATGGTGGGTTTGAGAATGGAGACGGTGAAAAGTTGTTGGTATCTTTTTAGCTTCTCTTAATATTTTAATAAATATTGACTTTTTCTTTTACAGGAGACGAGATGAGCATGGAGTATACCAGTGTGGGTATGTAATAATTACAGTCGCACGTGCGCCCTGGTGGACAACTAATAAATAAAATAACAAATTATATTTATTCTTAATTTTATTCAAATTTTACCAATATTCCTTCCCTTTCTAATATTATTTTAATCTCTCATGATTCAAGTAATCACATAAAACTATAGGAATAATTTGTGAAGTCAAGAAGAGTATATAATATTTTGTTATTACATGAATTATTAAACTTCAAAAATTGTAAATGCATTCTATCTTAAATAAAACATGGGTGTAGATATATAATGTTTTAAGATAATAGTTTAAAAAAATAATATTCTCTTTCATTTTTAATAAAAAAATATTTTTATTTTAATTATAAAAAATGTAAATATATTTTGATGTTAATTATTTTTATATATTTATTTATTATAAAATTTATGTTGACAAGTCATTCACTTGTTATTTATATAGATAAATGTATTGGTCATTTAGGCTCAATGGTGAAATTAATATAAAAAAATTATAAATTATTGTTGATAAGCTCGTTACCTGTGCTTCATTGGTTTAATTAATTGAATTTCAATTACTTCATAAAGTTAACTATACAACTAGCTAAAATGTGTTAAATTAATAAAAATATATTATTCAGGTTATTTTATAAGGTTATATTTTATTCAAAAAGATAAAAGTAAAAATAAAAAATATATTAAAAATATTTTTCAATAAGCTAAAAGTTATTAGAAGTATCTTTTTATAATCTAACTTTTTAAAAGTTACAATTTTATTTTTATTTTTTGTTTGCGTACAATCAACTTTCCTAGTTGATTAACAACAACAAAATTTATTTATAAGGTATAAGTTTGAATTACTAAACTTGTGTTTGGTAACAAAATATTGTAATTTATTTAGGAATTTATAATTAAAAAAATAAATTAGTAAAGTTATTTGGTAACAACAAAAGACTTATTATAACTTTCAAATGTTAATTTTTAAAAAAAAATTATTGAAGTATCATTAAACTTATAAGTACTAGTTTGTGTTTATTAAATCCTTTTTACCGAAGCTACGTATAGGCGCAAACCATAAATTTTTTTCTTATTTAATTATAATATTATATTAATATAATATTACAATTTTTAATTATTTAATATATTTTAGTTAATTCTAGCAAATAACTCTGATTCAAGTAATTACTTAAAAATCTATAAACTTTAAGTTAGCTTATCAACTACAAGTTAGCTTTCGACTAATTTTATCAGCTTAAATAAAACTTTAATATACAAGTCACAGAATGTGATAATTTAATACCGAGTATTAGCATTTTTTAAATACAATCTAATAACTATTTTATTATTTTGTATAAATTCTTAAAAATATGAATCAAAGGAATGAATAGTTAATTTTTATTAAAATAAAAAGTTTAAGATGCACTAAATATTATATACTCACATTTTTATATTTCTTTTAGGAAAAAATTATGTAATTAATACTATAAAAATAGTAATTAGTATTTTTATAAAATATTAAATATTGGTAATTAGCATCGGGACTTATTAATATTTTTCTAAAATACAATAGACTATGATACAATCAAAACATGTGTAAGATAAACTCTATAACACGTGCACTGTGTTATTTACTTTTTGTACTTCATTGCATTTTTGTTTGCATAATATGTAATTTAAGTATTTTAACTTCATTGGTTAATTAAGTTAGTTTAATTTTAAAAATAAAAATAAATTATCAATTTTTTACTTTACGTTTTTAAACTTTTATTATATTTATCTAAATATCCGTGTTTTGCAATGGGTTTGAAATATAAATGATTTAAAAGTTTATAATTAAGAAATAAAGTAAAAATTGATAAAATTTCAAAAAATTTATAAGATAAAAAGTTAGAGTTGGAAAATATACAATAAATATATATATATATATATATATATATATATATGAGAAAATATTTTTTGATACTAGCATAAATTTAAAAAATTTTATACACAATCTAAATATTTTATTTAACTTATATCTAACGGTAAGTAAAATAATAAATTATAACTCGTTAGATATAAGTTAAATAAAAAGCTTAGATCAAATACATGAATTTTTAAAATTATATATAGGTTTAATATTTACGTTAGAAATAAAATAAGATAGTTGGTATATACGGAGTGTCAAATTATGTAAAGTTACACCTTTAACTATATTTAAAAAACTATTCATTTAACTATTAAATTACATAGTATTATTATAATATTTGTGTCCATCGAATTTTAGTTAATTTAAATATTTATAAACATTTGATCCAACAATAAATATTTATTTATTTTTTAAAGAACATTGAAATATTAAAGTGTAGTAAAGTATCAAATAGTTTTAAAATTATATGAAGTTTATATACTTAATTCATTTAATGAGATCAAGTTTTGAATATAATGTTTAAATTGATAAACATAATTTTTATAAACTTTGAGACCCAATGTTAATTTATCATATCTCATAAAAATGCACGAATTTTATAATTTATTAACATATGATGTATGTTAAAGTGTGTTTATTTTCAAACCGTTCCCAACCTTTTTTTGGATCCATCCCTATTGCTATATAGGATGGCTAGGAACCATATAAAGTATGTGAATTGGGTTTTAAAAATATAAGCTTAATCTAAATTTAATCCAGCTCAATTCGAAATCTGGTTGGCTTATACAGGTTAGTATCCATGTTTATTTGGATTGTTTTTTAAAAAATTGGGTTATAATTGTTTGTTAAAGACAATTAATTAAAATGCTTGAAGACGAAAGACATTTGTGATTGATGGTGTTCATATCAAACGTTATAAATAAAGTAAATACTGCTACACAACATACTAGTAAGTATGGGAGCATTATCATAAGGAGATGAAATCAATAACAAATCTAAAAATAGAAGAAATTGATTTATACAACGTGAGACTGAACATTCTTATTTATTATAATTATCCATTACATAGGTTGCTTGTGTAAACGTGTTAATTAAACAACATAAAAAAAATATAACTAATTAGTTTTTGACATACTTTTTAAAAATATTTATCACGTTAATTTTGATGTTTATTTTTGAAATACTAAAATATAACCTATATATACGAACTTTTATGGCCACTTCATAACTTTGGAGTAAAAATATACAATAAGAAATCATTCAATGATAAGAAAAAGTATGAAATAACATGTAGGGAAATTTTATTATTATTATTATTATTAGAGAAAAGTTGATGTCAATGAGTTTTATCAACTATCACATTTTCAGGAAAATGTTTCAAAGTGAATTATTTTATAAAAAAAAGTTGTATTGCCGATCGATAACATAAAGGATTCAACAAAGTTGTTCATAATTGCCATCAAAGTTTGGGACGTCAAGTTTGGTAATAATGACATATATATCTGCCGTTTTTTCAATAGAAACACTTGACATTATCGCAGCATATATAATTGCAACACCTTTCATTATTACAATATTAATAGGTATGCGTAGTTTTTCTACCGTACTCTTAGATGGCAAACGAGGATTTTACACGATAATATTATGCCTTATTGCATTTTAAAATAAATTATTACAAATTTAAATGAAATTAATCCCCACTTATTATTATTTTATAAGATTTCAACCCCACATCCAATTAGCATTAGGATTTGGGTCTTTGCAAAGATGTTCTAATAGGCATGCCTGTTAGCTATGAAACTAATCTTCAAGTCATGGATGGTGATTAAGTATTTTTTTTTTTATCCAAAGCAGTGATTCTAAATTCAAAGCCCCCAACATTGTAAGTAAAGTGTGTGGTCACGCTTTACTTCTATTACGACGAATCACTTTTTGAAGAATTTAATACTTAGTTAATTATTTATTATTTACTTTCAAAATTATATTAAATTGATTTTTAAGTTATTGTAAATAATTAAATATAAATTTAGTCCTCTGCTTTCACGTGTTTGTGAGTTGAATGAATATTCGAATTGTTTGAGCAAATTTCTTTGAAAAGAGAAGGAAAAAAGTTTAAAGTTTTACTTAAAGTAGTTTATTTTTATAATATTTTTTTAATAAGTTTTGTATACAAGAATAAAAAGTTTATAGAATGTGTTTTACATTAAAATTTAAGCAATAAAAATTTATCAAAGAAATCTTAAATATGAAATAGTTACTTTTATCTTTCATATCAATATTTTCTAAAAAAAGTGAATAATGTATTGAAATGTGTCTTTTTCAATTACGGTTTTTTAATATATGCAATATATATTGAACATGATAAAAAAATTAATAAATA